TATATATATATACACACACACACACACACACACACACACACATACACACACCTGTATAATAAAATAAAACATTCTACAAGTACACACAAGACAACAAACATTAAATAAACAAAATACAATTACAACAAAACGAAAGACTTAAATTGAATTGCCTGAACAAAAGCATTGCATATTGTTCTGCCTGAATGAGCCTCATGGAATCAAGTTCCACAACTTTTCAACAGAGAACATTGTATTGTGAAGTTACCCCTATCCTAACCCAGATGTCACATAAAGAGACAGCAGTTGATGTGTCACAAAACTAGATTTAGGTTAGTTTACAACAACAAACAAATAAACAAGCAAGTGCGCACCGGTACTACTGTATAACATCGCGCCAAGTGAGTCACGGACCTCAGGCTGTACAAAAAACAGAGTGGAATATATTGCTAATTCTTATGCTGCAACTCTTGTGGGTTTCATAAAGGCAAAGTGTCAGTGTCATTACAAACTCTCTGGAGCACACAGGAATTCTTACAAAGCACAAATGTTGGCCTTCAGTCATTTTTGACATTCGTTCACTTCGATACATACAATTAAATACTTCACTTGTGGAAGGACGAGTGCAAAACCAGGCAAGTTAAACAAGCAAAGTTCACTTTTCACATGAAAAGTGAAAGCATTTTAATCATGTTTAAATTTAGCATCCTAAACAACTTACCTAGTACCACATTAGAATTTCTAGTAGCATATAAATCAATAAACTCTCTTACCTTTAAATGCTTAAATCAAAAGTTAAAGTGAAATGATACACTCTTCATAGCATCTCAGGTCTGATTCTCAGAGCACTAAGCAACTGCAAGCACTTCCTTTAAAACAGGCTTGTAACAAAACACATGGTATTAATGAGGACAGACTCAATACTAAGGGAACAAGCATGATGTTATGCTCATGTGACATCCTTGTTTAAATTAATGATTTCCCTGTTTTACCTCATCTAATGACGTCACGTAACATGGCACTTAGATTGCTTCCTTCTTGGTTCCCAGTTCAACTTCTCTGTGTTGAAATGATAAACATCAAATTTGCAGAACAACATGTTGCATGATCTGAAGCATCATTAATGTTAAGAGTTTAAGAAAACACTGATTGTAACGTAAAATGCATTGCTAAAGAGAGGTAAATTCAATAACTCATTTTTTAAAGTGACGTCTTGTTACTCTTGTCGTGTGGAAAAACAGCACGTGACTTCAGGTGGTTTTCGTGTTCAAACCCCATAATAAGCCCCCTGTGTGCCAAAAATTGCTTCAAGCAGGCTTCAAACAAATGTTGCAGCACTTCCTGAACATTTTACGGTCACACAGCATGTAACGCAGACAATAATCTCTCACACATCACTTCCTGGAAACAATCAAAGTCATGTCTTGTTCACATTAATGCTTAACAAATGGCAGGGCTACTGCCTGAATGAGCTCAAATGAATCAGTTGACAGCATGTCGCTTTTGCTGTTGTTTGCACATAAAAGCCTGTGATATGTGGAACAGATGTGAGAGACGTACAACATGCCAGTCATGACACATATTAACAGCTCTCACAGATCGAGTGGATGGATCTCACAAAACCTGCCAAAGCTATATTTCACTGCATTAACATCATGCATTAATATTATGATGTCTTTAATGAGTACATATTTTTTTAAAGCAATTTAAATAAAAAAAAATATTTGTATTAGCCCTTAAATAAATGTAATATAGTAAAAACAAACTGAGATTCACCAATAAAAATAATGAGAAATCTCAAATGTGAAATGTCCAGATGGATTACAATAATTAGATTTCATAGGGTGAATTATTACATAAAATAATGTAATAATGCAAAAGAAAGAAAGCTTAATTTTTTATTTATTTTTTTTTGGTGCATGAAATGTGATCTAGCCAGGATTTTGTAAGATTTGCCCTAGTTAAACTACCACTAACACTACTTTTAAAACAACATTTATTGTGTGCTTCTGCAGGTTTGGTGGTGTTAAATTCAGGTTTATTGATTCCGCAAGGAAGGTGCAAATCTGTATCCTTGTTATGAAGCACATGCATACTGAATTGCTGATCTTGTTATGTAGCTTCATTTGCTGCAAAACAAAACTATATGAAATCTCTAAAGCAGAGAGAAACTCAATTTCAGCCCCAAATCCAAAGTTAATTATTTCAATAAATAAATATGATTATTATATTGTATTTAGAAAATTAAGCTTTTATTATGAATATCAGATCAGCATAAAGAAAGAACAACAAATACTGTTATTGTTTACTGCATTAATAGCTTGCTTCATTTTTTACACATTTAGACGATGACAATATGGGGTAAAATGTATTTAATATATTATTTCGGGGGTCATACAAAATTGGAAAAAGTCCTGCACACAGTCATATACACATTAAGAAACTTAATTAGATAATTTTTTACACATTTAGACGATGACAATATGGGGTAAAATGTATTTAATATATTATTTTGGGGTCATACAAAATTGGAAAAAGTCCTGCACACAGTCATATACACATTAAGAAACTTAATTAGATACACGTTTCAGTCAGACACCCTCTTCAAAAACTAATACTTTACTTTGTTTTAACTTTAGGAGAAATATGACCCGGTCATGTTCTTGACAGGTTTCGTGAGATTTGAATCCATTCATGACTATAAGACGCGTTTCAGTTTCAAATTCACATGGGACGGAGCACGTACCACACAGAGATATGCTGTTAATTCATAAAATCATAACACAAACTTAAAGAGAACAGCCTATGATGCAATCTTGATAACAGTCACTGTAATACAGCAATACACACAGCCTATGCAAAGATTATAGTAGGTACAAAGATGTACCTTTTCCCCCGTGACAGAGTTTTGGGTAAGAAATCTACATCATGCAGAATTTCCCCCTGCACTCACAAGGTTATCAGTCATCAGTTTCAGCTTCGTGAAACGTTGAGTTGCCCAACACTACACACACATCAGTGCCAACAAGTTTCTGCAACATCCCAAAGGTCTTTATCGCAGGAAACCGGCTCAGTGTGGCGGGGATTTTAACAGTAAAGACAGAGGCAAAAGAGTGCTTAAACTAATGCAAGCAAAGCACAAACCACAAAACAACACTAAGCAGAACAACTATCATACTAATGGCATGCAATATTACAGAAAAAAAGTTAAAGGGGTCATACGATGCGATTTCAAGTTTTCCTTTCTCTTTGGAGTGTTACAAGCTGATTGCGCATAGATAAGATCCCTGAAGTTGCAAAGACTAAAGTCTCAAACCCAAAGAGATATTCTTTATCAAAGTTAAGACTCTGCCACGCCCCCTTAAAACGGCTCGTTCTAACACGCCCCCACATATCTACCTCACTATGTGGAAATATTTGCATAATGCCGCCCAAATGTTCACGCAAAGAAAGAAGGCGTGGTTTCAGTAACCAGCAGTTAGTGTTGAAGCAGCATGTCAGGGAGACGCTGTGTGTTTCTAGGTGAAAACAAAAGCACTTTATTTGGCCTTCCGAAAGTAGATGCATTTAGGAATCTTTAAGATCACTTACAACAGAACAGCAATGCATTTTATGGACGACAGTTTCGTGAACCTAGGAGAGGAGGTCATTCTGACTTTGCTATGACAATCTGGCGCTTCTGAATCAGCTACTGTTTTGTTATTAGTTTAAGTATTTGCTATTGACTGTTCAAATGCAGAGTTTTACGCATTGTGTGTGTGTGTGTGTGTGAGAGAGAGAGAGAGAGAGAGAGAGAGACAGCGTCACATCAAAGTGGAGTGAGCTGTCTTAACCGTGGCTTGTGTACTGCAAACACATACCAGCTTCATCACTGTGTCTGTCACGCGTTTGAGAGAGGCGGGGCATAGAGGACCTACAATAATGTACAGTATTTGAAAAAGAATGTGTTTTTTGAACATTAAAGCATGTCAACATATTCTGTTACACCAAAAATGATCTTTAAAAAAAGCATCATATGACCCCTTTAAAGCATAAGGAAGAAGAGAGCCCTTCCTTACTAAAAATGGCTGTAGAAGTGCTATAAATAGAGTGGTATTTATTTATATGGTACTCTAATGTATATGCAAGAACGACACTACTATGATATAGTAAATTGATACATACCATGGTACATGATGATTGCATATTCACATATCATGGTATTCACAAAGCACCAATTCATTAAAAAATAAGGTAGGCTACAAGTCCAAAAGAACAAAGTAAAAACATGATACATTTTCTCATTAATCTATGACCTGAGAAAAATACATTTTAGAGAGACAAAATTCTGAAAACGTGACTCTTATTTGATGGCAACATACATTTAGCCTACATATAAATATATAGGTAGCCTACATTAATGTTTTTAAGACTCCGGTTTGTGAAAACAGTTCCAAGTGTAAAACACTACTAATAATAAAACCTTAATCAGTCTATCCAAGTAAGTAGAAACCATGTCATAACTGTAGCAACTTTATCAGCACAAGTTCACTTTAACGTTAGCTTGTTTCCGTCTCCTTCAACTTGTGCAACGCTCACTAAAGTACATTTGCCGTGTTAGTAATTAATCGACTGACAGCAAATCTCTGTGATTCAAGTTAATCAAATGAATAATTACCTTGTAAGCCAGTTTAGGATCCTTTCAAACCAGTTGTACCTGCTTGTTTCTCTCTGCGGTTTAGACTCACCTGCGGCGGCTCGTCAGTCCGGGCATTTCGAATCCTTCTAGACAGAAGGCACGTCTCATGAATATTGATTAAATAAAGCGACGTTCGACCATTTGATTGGCTAAAAGGCGTTGGCGATTTTTTATTTTTTTTTCTACTACGAAACGTTATTTTGCAAATGCGTTTTTTTTTCTTTGTTTACTAACTGCATACGTGTTCATCCAGCATTTGTACACTGATTTAATATGATCTAATAACATAATAAAAAAAATAATAATATAAAAACGGTTTACTTGAGATTTGATTAAAAAAAATTAATAATAATTACGGAATTATTAGCAAATTTTCCCTTCTGGGGCTAAGGGGTTTCGAATAACGTCATCGTGACGTAATTAATATTTACGAGATAAACATTCTCCATAGTCGTATTCTTAAGTAGCCTAACGTTTCATGATTTATATGAATGTCTCAGTCTGTGATGACTTACAGTTGTGGTTATGTTAGCTTATTTTGTTCTGTTATGATGCTTGAAATGAAAAAAAAAAAAAGTAGCCTAACATTTCCGGGTAAATGCATAGAAGCAAAATGTACTACCACAGGGCAGGGCAGGACAGGGCAGGCCTATCCTTTCAGTTTATGACCCACAAAGACTTTCGAAACAGCTTTCGAAATTATTTTCAGACACTGCTGTAGAGTTTTAGAGAAGCAGGATGTGTTTTTTGCAAAGGTTATTTTGGCAACAGATCTTTAGCACCTGCACACCAACTTTCACTTTTAAATAGACTCACTCAAAAGCTTTATTCACAGTCTGTAGTAACAAGTACACTTTTCAAAAAAATAAGTTTCTTCATTCTAAAAAGCTCAAAGTAAAATATCAAAAGATAGACCAACCAATGTAGGCTATATAAAACAAGTGTACGGTGACTAAAGTGTTGTTTCCTTGATCCTGTTAGACGTAATATCTAACTCAAGTACAACACATAAGCAAGATTACTCTGATAACCTGTACAGTTTCAGGTTAAATCGAACGTAAATATTGCAGTTTACGTTAACAGTAGGTGTCGCTAGACACCAGTAGATAGAGATTTTAAAATGTAAAGATGAAACGACTAAAACCATGAATTATCATCATATTAATTTATTGAAGTAGTTAAAGCTGTCGGATAATATCTGATTATGCATATGCATTGAGCTCACAGATCAAAAACAACAGTCCATTAGACACAGACTCCTCTTTTGTTCAGCTAGGCCGTAAGTTTGAGTTTGACATCGGTGGGGACACAACAGCAGACAACACCCTCCATAATAATGCTAACCCCAGTGAAAAAGTCCATCCCCTGTTGTCCTCTCACATCAAAATCCACTGACGTGTTAGTTCTGGACTGTTTTCACTTGTAAACGGTGCTTGATCAGTGTATATTTCTCTCCTGATTCAGAAGAGATGACTTTTTCACTGAAGAAAGCAATATTATGGATAGAGGACGGAGGCAACAGTTTGAAGTTAAACATGTCTTATGGATTTGTTTCTTACTAACTCAGTTTTTGCTTCAGAAGATGTTAACTGAGAGTTGTGTGGATTACTGTGATGTTTTTATCAGCTGTTTGGACTCTCATTCTGACGGCACCCATTCACTGCAGAGCATCCATTAGTGAGCAAGTGATGGATTGCTACATTTCTCCAAATCTGTTTCCATGAACAAACAAACTCATCTACATCTTGGATGGCCTGAGGGTGAGTACATTTTCAGCACATTTTCATGAGCTACTCTTTTAAAACAAGTTGTGACGGGAAAAAAAACTAGATAACACCATGTCATATACATTTTTAAAGTACAACTCTCATTTCAGTTTTATTTCATATTTTGAAACCAGTCATTGCAGAACTGTACACTGGGAGCAAGTACCTGGAATCTGATTGTGAGCAACTGTAGTTAAAATACAGACAGGAAACTCATTGAAAACAACTGCATAGTTTGAATACATTAGACAGGGATGCACTAATATTGTGGTTACTTGTAGATCTGATTCGTTTTACTTGTCATAATTTAATTTTCTAGTTCTACAGCACGGGCCAAGAACATGCCATCGTCCATCCATCATCAAAAATCCTCGTTAAGTCACAGTACGATCAGAGCGATGCATACAGTGCAGTTTAACTTTGCAGTAACTACCTGTCAAAATCAACAGCAGATTTATTGCAAGTTAAAAAGAAATAATAAAACAATACTTTAGTGCACGAGTCACACCTAAAGAAATGATTCTTAAAGGGGAGTTTATTACTGTAAATAAGAGTTTATTACTGTAAAATAAAAAGTCAAAAATAAAGCCAGCGAATTGAATCTGTGAATCCGATCGCATGATGGCATGCTGTTTTGTGATTGGCTGCTTCTCTAAGCATTCAGTTGCTGTAGGAAAACTGGATTTGTGCAGCAACAATGATATTTTTGCGGTCAGCTTTGCACAGGACCGAACGTCTATCTATAACACTGATCTTACAGGGAGAACCAAGCAAAGATCTGCTGAACATAAACCGAGGCAATATGAATAAATATGAAAAGAATATTTACATACGAAAGTATTTACAGTATATCGACAGGCGTCACATGTCTACCAGCTAAAGTACCGCGATTACAGCTGCATGCCATTCTAAACAACTCGTCAGGACTTGATGTTACCCCACTATTCACACTTCCAAACCCTTACGATCAATGCAACCCTCATCGTATCAGTACAGACATCCCTACAACTCCAATCTATTTCATTCTACATTGTCTCAGCAGTGATTATATTATTTATTCGGGTACCTCAAACCATCACTAGGCATTCAGTAACTGACCCGAGATCGGTTTCTAGCACGTAACACCTCACAGACAAGGTTCATGGCTTTCTAAATCAGTAGCGATTGATTGAGGTTGTTACCCACAATTATATATATAACAATGGCTATTTTGCATATAACATATTGGCAACTTTGAGTGCACGTGTCAGAATTTCTCAAAAAAAGCCAAAACTATTGAAAAAGATAAAACGTTTGAAATTCAAGCATTCAACAAGCTTTGAGGAGTCAGTTCAAACATCTCTTGAACAATATTCATGAGTGATAAAAGCAATAGTTCATTTTTCAGATTTTCTTCCTCTGTGTTTTTGTCTTGTTTTCCAGTACAATTCTCTCAACAATCTTAAATCAACTTGAGAAGCCAATTACTTAACATAAAAAGTCTTGAAAAATTTATCTAGATTAAGTGAGTTTATGCTTAAAATGAGAAAAAATATCTGACAATAATACTTGATTTTAAGGGTAAACAAGTTGCCAGACATTTTTCTTGTTTTAAACAGTCACTTGATTTCAGAAAACAAGACTGTCTTTTAAAATTTTGCTTCGCAAAGTAAATGCAACTTGATTTATGAATGGTAAGATAGTTGTAATAGGAAAACAAGACAAAAATACTAAGGAAGAAAATACATTTTTTAAATTGAGTCACAATTCACTCACCCTCATGCCGTTCCAAACATTTATGCTGTTATTTTTGCCATGGGGTACAAAAAGAGACATTTAGAGGACGCTTTTCTCATGCAATAAATGTAAAAGTATTGTATATGGAAAAGAGCAGCATGGACATTCAGCTAAACGTCTCCGTTTGTGTTTTACACAACATGAGGGTTAGAAAATGTTTCAGTGAACTATTCCTTTAAATTCTAGTTACAAAGCCTGCTCATCCTCTTTGATACAAAAAAAACAACATTAATAAAAATACATTTTGTACATAATAAAACAGTACAAAAATTCATTTTTTCCTTTGTATTGGCACACAAAGTAGGACTATACAGTCACATCTGCTTTAAACAAAAAACAATGCTATATATCAGTAGTTGTTTTGAATACTAGAAGAGTAGAATAACTGTATCAAATGAAACCACATTCTGAACGATTCTCTAATTGAGTCCATATCAAAAGGAAGAATGTTTTGTTTCCATCATTTCAGTCCGAACGTTTCCAATCATGTGACCAGTGCTCAACCAATCACATTCTTATTCCAGTTGATCCAGGTTCATACAAAAGAAACATAGTGGGACAAAAAGCTCATTTCTACCATTAAAAGGCATAAAATACCATGTTCAGATACGGACCCTGGATATCTATTGGAAGACATTAACGGGAACGTCCATTCGTCACGAGAGAGCTGCAATCACAGATGTCTCCCAACATGCACAGAGGTGCTGACATCTGATGTTGCCGATCAAATCTCATCCATCTGAGCTTGTGAACGGGTCGCAGGGTTCATGACAAACACCGGCGCTGACGGAGCTTGATGCTTTGGGGGTTTGAAGGGGGATGGGAGAGGATAGAAGTGAGGGATTGTGGGAGGAGGATGAATGACAGATCTGGAGCATCCGCTAAAAGGGTTTAGGAGAGAAGTGGTGGTACATCGAGGTCAAGAAAAACAGCTTGCGATCAATCCGCAGAGCTTCGGAAATAAAGCCTCGCAGCAATTATCAGCAGAAACCGCAAGCTGCACGGCCGAAGAAGAAATTTGTTAGTGGATTTCTTTGCGAATGATGCAGAAAAGATGCATCTTGTCTTGCTGTTTGAAGCTCACCTGCGATGAAAGTGGAAAAACATGCGATTACAATAACAGAGGGCGATGCTGTAACACTGAGACCATATGAAAACCCAGCAAGTTGCTTAAAACGGGCTGAATTGGATATCATTCCATGTGGATCAGTATTGTTTGGGTTATTCCACAAACTTTCCGTGTTTGTTTTCTGGTCAGGAAAAGGATCTCTCTTTCTCTTTCTCACACTTGACTGGATCGGCATCTCTAGAGGTTCTCGCCCGGTTGGTACTGTGGTTCAGTAGAGGTGAAGTAGTCTTCCAGGAAGCTCTGGAGGTATTCGAAGGTGGGCCGCTCTTCGGGCTCCTTGCGCCAGCAGGTCAGCATCAGCTCGTGCAGGGATTCTGGGCACTCGGCGGGACAGGGCATCCTGTAGCCACGCTCCACCTGGTCCAGCACCTCCCGGTTCACCATACCTGTGCGGAGGACAGACGTGAAACAGGGTGGATGTGGGTCAGGTGTCAGATTGTGGTGCAGAAAGTGGCATGGCACATTTTAACCAGGCAGAGGATGTGAGTTGTCAGCAGGGAGGAACAACCGGAAATGTTTTCATGTGCCCTTTGTGGAGGGGGGCTCTTTAAAATGTTGTTTAATACGGGCAATGTGGCTTGTGTGTTATAAAAAATAAAAAAGTACAAAAAGAGACATTTAGAGGACGCTTTTCTCATGCAATAAATGTAAAAGTATTGTATATGGAAAAGAGCAGCATGGACATTCAGCTAAACGTCTCCGTTTGTGTTTTACACAACATGAGGGTTAGAAAATGTTTCAGTGAACTATTCCTTTAAATTCTAGTTACAAAGCCTGCTCATCCTCTTTGATACAAAAAAAACAACATTAATAAAAATACATTTTGTACATAATAAAACAGTACAAAAATTCATTTTTTCCTTTGTATTGGCACACAAAGTAGGACTATACAGTCACATCTGCTTTAAACAAAAAACAATGCTATATATCAGTAGTTGTTTTGAATACTAGAAGAGTAGAATAACTGTATCAAATGAAACCACATTCTGAACGATTCTCTAATTGAGTCCATATCAAAAGGAAGAATGTTTTGTTTCCATCATTTCAGTCCGAACGTTTCCAATCATGTGACCAGTGCTCAACCAATCACATTCTTATTCCAGTTGATCCAGGTTCATACAAAAGAAACATAGTGGGACAAAAAGCTCATTTCTACCATTAAAAGGCATAAAATACCATGTTCAGATACGGACCCTGGATATCTATTGGAAGACATTAACGGGAACGTCCATTCGTCACGAGAGAGCTGCAATCACAGATGTCTCCCAACATGCACAGAGGTGCTGACATCTGATGTTGCCGATCAAATCTCATCCATCTGAGCTTGTGAACGGGTCGCAGGGTTCATGACAAACACCGGCGCTGACGGAGCTTGATGCTTTGGGGGTTTGAAGGGGGATGGGAGAGGATAGAAGTGAGGGATTGTGGGAGGAGGATGAATGACAGATCTGGAGCATCCGCTAAAAGGGTTTAGGAGAGAAGTGGTGGTACATCGAGGTCAAGAAAAACAGCTTGCGATCAATCCGCAGAGCTTCGGAAATAAAGCCTCGCAGCAATTATCAGCAGAAACCGCAAGCTGCACGGCCGAAGAAGAAATTTGTTAGTGGATTTCTTTGCGAATGATGCAGAAAAGATGCATCTTGTCTTGCTGTTTGAAGCTCACCTGCGATGAAAGTGGAAAAACATGCGATTACAATAACAGAGGGCGATGCTGTAACACTGAGACCATATGAAAACCCAGCAAGTTGCTTAAAACGGGCTGAATTGGATATCATTCCATGTGGATCAGTATTGTTTGGGTTATTCCACAAACTTTCCGTGTTTGTTTTCTGGTCAGGAAAAGGATCTCTCTTTCTCTTTCTCACACTTGACTGGATCGGCATCTCTAGAGGTTCTCGCCCGGTTGGTACTGTGGTTCAGTAGAGGTGAAGTAGTCTTCCAGGAAGCTCTGGAGGTATTCGAAGGTGGGCCGCTCTTCGGGCTCCTTGCGCCAGCAGGTCAGCATCAGCTCGTGCAGGGATTCTGGGCACTCGGCGGGACAGGGCATCCTGTAGCCACGCTCCACCTGGTCCAGCACCTCCCGGTTCACCATACCTGTGCGGAGGACAGACGTGAAACAGGGTGGATGTGGGTCAGGTGTCAGATTGTGGTGCAGAAAGTGGCATGGCACATTTTAACCAGGCAGAGGATGTGAGTTGTCAGCAGGGAGGAACAACCGGAAATGTTTTCATGTGCCCTTTGTGGAGGGGGGCTCTTTAAAATGTTGTTTAATACGGGCAATGTGGCTTGTGTGTTATAAAAAATAAAAAATAAAATAAAAAACACCCTCAAAAACATTTTTAAAACATTTGTAGAGATGAAAACCCTGCATTGGAGTTAATGTGAATCATTTGGAAATAATAATAATAATGAATATTTTTTACAATTTGACATTATGGCCTAAAAATATCCCCCCAAATTTTTTTTCTTTCTTTTTTTAACAATAGAAATGTCTAAACTCAATGTGTTGGATTTAGTGTGAATAATTATAAGTGAAAATTATTTGAATGTAATGTTTTTGTAAGTTTATAAGTATTTTTTGTTAGAGATAAAAACCCTGCATTGGACTCAATGTGAATAATAATAATTTATATATATATTTTTAATTATTATGTCCTGTGAGTGAATTTTTTAAAATAATTATAATTCATTCATTTATTCCATCTTTTTTAGAATGGAATTTATCATTCTTTAAAAAAAGATGGAATACATTAATTCATTATTATTATTGGTAAATAAACTTTTTTTTTTTTGAGGATACACACACATACACAGATATACATATATAAATATGATTATTGTTGCATAAGTTATAGAATAATTTATTCTATTAAATAATGTTTAATAAATTTTCAGTGAAAATAATAATAATAATATTCTATAATATTTAAATTATTCTACAATTATTCTGATTGATATTGAAATATTCCATTTTTTTTAGAGATGATAAACCCTGCACTGGACTGAATGTGAATAATTAAAAATAATAATAATAATAATGTTTTAAAATAATGTATAGAATAATGAATGCTTGTAAACTGATTATTAAATTTAGAAAAAAAAATTATAATGTTCATATACAGTATATATTAATGCTATCAAACGATTAATCGCGATTAATTGCATCCAAAATAAAAGTTTTTGTTTGCACAATATGTGTGTGTACTGATAATATAATATACACACATACAGTATATATTTTAAAAATATTTACATGTATATATTTACAGTGGGTACGGAAAGTATTCAGACCCCCTTAAATTTTTCACTCTTTTTTATATTGCATATACATATATATATATATATATATACAGTATATATGTGTGTGTGTGTGATATATATATAAAGTACATTTGAATGTGAAGGTGAACCAGTGACTCTTTGATTAATACTCGACTGACTGGTAAACACGTAGAGCAGTAGTACCTGGATAAGGCACCCTGCCTTTGGTCGTCAGCTCCGTCAGTAAGACCCCAAACGACCACACGTCAGATTTGATGGTGAAGCGGCCGTAAAGCGCCGCCTCTGGCGCGGTCCACTTGATGGGAAACTTGGCTCCTGTTGTAATAATAATTTAAGAGAGGCCTGTCATCATGATTAAACTGATTCAATTAAGGTCGAACCACATAAACGGCAACAGCATTAGGTCTTGAAAATGAGACGGAGACGTTACGGCCTCAGGAAACAACTCAAGATGTAAAGAAAATGGAGAACGACCACATGCAGGCAGAGAGAGTCACTGTGTTCCTGCTCACCCTGTCTGGCCGTGTATTCGTTGTCCTCTATGAGTCGAGCAAGGCCAAAGTCAGCCACTTTACACACCAGGTTATCACCCACCAGGATGTTGGCAGCCCTGAGGTCCCTGTGCACATAGTTCATTCTTTCCACGTACGCCATTCCAGAGGCGATCTGAGGACAGCACATATATTATATATTACTCCAGAGTATCCACAGAATAGAAACAGATTTATATACATTATGAAGACAATGACAGTGGCACGTGGCCATGCAAAAACTGCTGCCACAGTGCTGTTTTTAGTGATGCTGTCTGCAATATTCAACTCTCTAAATATAGTTCCTCCTTCAATGCAGGGCTATATAGTTTTTTATTTATTTATTTATTTTTGTTTTATTTTAGTCAGTCTTTGAGTCATGAAAATGTGTTTTAGTTTAACTTCAGTTACAAAATATAATAGAATTTATAATATTTAATACTTTTATTCACCAAGGATGCATTCAATTTAGTGCTGTCAAACGATTAATCACGATTAATCGCATCCAAAATAAACGTTTTTGTTTACATAATATATGAGCGTGTACTGTGTATATTTATTATGTATATATAAATACAAGCACATGCATATGCATATATATATATATATATATGCTATGTATTTATATATATAACAAAATATGCTATGTTTATATATTAAATTTATATATAATATAAAATATAACAATATAAATATATAAATGTATGTACACGTAAATATTTTCAAAATATATACTGTATGTGTGTGTATTTATATATACATAATAAATAAACACAGTACACATAGTATGTAAACAAACATTTTTTATTTTGAATGTGATTAATCGCGATTAATCGTTTGACAGCACTAATTCAATTATCGATTCATCAAAGAGTCATGAAGAAAATGCATCAAGGTATGAATACTTTTAATTACCAAGGATGCATTAAATTGGTCAAAGGTGACAGTGATGTTTCTTGAGCAGCAAATCAGCATATCAGAATGATTTCTGAAGGATCATGTGACACTGAAGACTGGTGAATATTCAGCTTTGCATCACAGGAATAAATTACATTTTAACATGTATTCAAATAGAAAACAGTTATTTTAAATTGCAATAATATTACAGTTTTTTTAATGTATTTTTTTATCAAATAAATGCCGCCTTGATGAGCATGAGATGTCTTTCAAAAAAAAAATTTTTTTAATCATACCGCCCCCAAACTTTTGATCATTAATGTAAATCTTCTAATATAATGTTTCCAATTTCCATTACTTTTTATTTAAGTATCAAAACTGTTAAAAGTTTATTTTTCTGTGCAGTTACATTACTAGATACCATATCATAATGCCAGTGTGAAAGTACCTGAGAGGCCATATCCACAAGCTGAGGCAACCGCAGCATTTTTCCCATGTCACCCTTCAGGAAATCCAACAGACTTCCTGTGAGAGCAGAAATCACACCTCACATCTCCAGTCACACTTTTACTTGCAGACCTCACAAGAAAAGCTGATAATATCCAGATTTGAATGCTCTATTTACACATCTTACTGCCAGTTCTTGTTTCTTGGACATATTTAGCCCAGTATGGTTCACTGGATCTCTGTACTGACCTTGTCCCATGTACTCAGTGACGATGTAAATGGGCTCCTCTGAGACGACAGCGTAAAGCTGCACCAGCTTCTCATGCCGGAGTTTCTTCATCACCTGTGCTTCCTGCAGGAAGGCCTCAGGAGACATAGTGCCAGTCTTCAGAGTCTTGATGGCCACGCGTGTCGTGCCGTTCCAAGTGCCTGATGGGAAAAAGACACTGAAATCATTGTCTGTTATGTGAACGCTTTGCTGCCATCATTACACAGCTGTGGTATTTTGTTCATATTTATCTCACATAGCTTCGGTTTTCAGTGGAAAGAAGTTGAAAGAGGAAGTCTTACCCATCCAGACCTCTCCGAAGCAGCCCTGGCCGAGCTTGATGTCCAGTCTCAGAGAGTCCCGTGGGATCTCCCAGGCGTCCCGTGCCAGGCCTTGAGTCTGAGGCTTCAGCACTGGACACACGTCAGTCAGACAGTGACACAGGCCGTCTGCGTGCTCTGTGACGGACACGTACAGAAAGAAGTGTGTTCATGTTTTTCTGTTAAATATTTATGCAACATAATATTAATGCAACAGTACTTTCAAATCTCTTTTTAGAAAATGGCCTCATTTTGATTCTATATTAATGCCCTAAATTAGATGCTTTTGTTGTTGGCAGCTATAAACAGAATTAAAATTAACAATGACTATTTATCTAGATAAAAAAAGAAAAAAGTTGAAATAAAAATTATTATGAATAATATATATATATATATATATATATATATATATATATAGATAGATATATATATATAGATAAATAATACTTATTCAACTTAAATAACAGAATATATTATTTAATAATACTTATAAATATTATTTTAAATAACATTAAAGGCACAATATGTAATTTTCGCCACTAGAGGGCGCGTATTCAAAATAAACAAAGAGACAAAGGCGTAGTTTGATGACACCGTGACTGAGTGTGGAATCATGGGAGTTGTCGTCTTCATCCCCACAGCCGATGCAATCCGACGGGACTCGGGCAGAAATCATGCATTATAATGGAAGCAGCGGAGCTTTTATTATGCCACAGTTGACTGCTTCTGCTCCTTCCAGTCGTGCGTATGTGGGGTAAAGCAGCGCTGTTTTATCATATTAGACACATTTGAAAGTTCTGCTATTATGCTACTCTGTGTGGTCGTATTAAAGCGTCTTTGGTGTTTCCATGTTTTCTACAAAATACAACCGAAAATCGAGGGGTTATGACATCATTGGCAGGCGACACAATGACACTATGGACACGCTCCGTGTCACAGGTTAAAATTGCTTATTTAAACATTCTTCGAAACATCTGGGATAATGTAAGTACACAAGTCAGCAAAATATATAACACCGTTCTAGTGGTTTTTGGATATTTTAATTAAAAAATCTTACATATTGTGCCTTTAACAACAATAATATATATATATTTTTTTTTATAAATTAACAATAATAATAAAAACATAATAATGTATGTACCTAATGTATTATTATTATTATAATAATGCTAATAAGAAAAAAATTATAATGATCATTCTTTTGGATTTTTAATACTAAAAATAAACATCTAACTTATAAATAACTTATACCATAATACCATATTTATTTCATCTTACATCTTACATGGTTTTAGGCCCTTTTAACACTCTAGAGCAGCATAAGAAGTAATATAATTGCTTTATGCGATTGCTTTATTTATAGTTTTAACCGTCTTCTTATTTTGCAACAACTCAAGTTCCCACTTCCAGAAATAACAGTCTGTATCACTTCCCTTCATAGACATTCAGAAAGGAGGAGGTGTCTGTGAGAAAGTGACTTACGGCGGTAGTGGTTGACCAGCTGCTGTAAAGTACTGAACTGTGTGCGCGACGTGATGTAAAAACCCCCGCTGTCCAGCTTCCTGATCTTGTAATGTTTGACATTTAGGCCCTTGACGTTGTCGTAATCCAGGACAGAAAGACAGTAGGCACCTAGAAAGACACAAAGAACACATTTGAGAGGTGAACTGGATGACATGGACGGCACTAACAAACATTTACCCAGGTTTTAGATTTGAAACTGTCAGATTGGTGTGATGGGTGCCAGATTCTACTCTTTTGTAGCATTTTTTCCCCCCCTTGAGGTCGACTAAACTGAGCAAAAACATGCATTCGGTGCATTTCTTTCTTTCTTTCTGGTAGCCATTGACTTGCATACAATTTGTTTCTATACCATGGAAGTCAATGGCTACCATCAACTGTTCTTCTTTTGTGTTCAACAGAAGAAAGAAACTGAAATGACTGTGTAGATTGTGTATAACAGGCCTTTCAACAAGGTTTTGATCATGTTGATGATTCAGGTCTTAGAAATGTGCATTACAGTAGGCTTTACAGGGTTAATAAACACTGAATGAAATGGTCTGTAGAGGGCGTTGTCACACATGGCTCATTCACTTGCTCCCTCGTTCCCACCCCGGTCTTTCTCTCAGTCTCGTCTCTTTGGGGTTTGACTTATCCTTCAGCCTCTCTCGGTCTCTCCACGAGCCTCTCGCTGACGGGATGAGCTGTGAGGTATGGCTCACGGTTATAGTTGACCTACTTGCTCTTCATCCCTTCAAGCACTTCTCTGACCTTCGTATTCTGTCGTATGCAACCATTTGCACTCTTTACATATCATCTCAAATGAACATTGTTTGTGTAGAACCTGAAGGTAAAAGGCCATATATGGAGTGTGGATCTTTACAGTGTTAAGAGAGAGAGAGAAAAGCTGGTTTGCAGAGGGAGGAGATCAGGGAGTATGAGCACGATTGCGTCTGACAAACAGAAAAGGGGAAATTGATTGAACGTGCACTTTGTTCTGATCTGAAATCCTGAAATGCAACTTCCTCAATGTAGACACATGCATGAGCACGAGCAGTTTCCTCCACACTGGTGTTGGTTCTTTGTCATCACTGTCTTTAATAATCGTTTCTTTATTACAGTAGCTCTGGTCTCTGAATTTGACTGGCTGAGCAGCGTTCCAACAGCACTGGAATTTTTTGCATTTGAGAAAAACAAAACAACAACCACATTTGATCAGTTTTTGCATTCCCTGGGATGTTGAACTCATGACCCTGAGTCCCTGACGTTATGAGTGCCAAGCTCTAATGTCTGAGCTACAGGAAAGACCTTTGAGTTTGGCCTCTGAATCAACACCGTGACACCAGATGAATGGTAAAAAAGTGTATATATTCTATAGGGGGAAGTCGTGGCCTAATGGTTAGAGAGTCGGACTCGTAACCCAAAGGTTGCAGGTTCGAGTCTTGTACCGGCAGGGATTGTATGTGGGGGAAGTGAATGTATAGCACTCTCTCCCACCTTCAATACCACGACTGAGGTGCCCTTGAGCAAGGCACCGAACCCCTAACTGCTCCCCGGGCGCCGCAGCATAAATGGCTGCCCACTGCTCCGGGTGTGTGTGTGTTCACTGCTGTGTGTGTGCACTAAGGATGGGTTAAATGCAGAGCACTAATTCCTAGTATGGGTGACCATACTTGGCCACATGTCACGTCACTTTTTTTTATATTAATTCACAAAGCTGCTATGTTGCTTGGAAACTGTAAACAGAATTAAAACTAAATTAAAATGTTAAAATATATGTTTTATTATTTTTTAATGAATAAACAATATAAATGATAAATAATTTATTGTCTATAGTAATGATAATAAATTCATTTTATTTTTAATAATAAATAATAAATAAAAAAACATTTTATTGTGATTTTATGGTATTAGATGGATTCATATATTTAATATACTCTTGTAGGCCGTATATATATATATTTTTTATTGTTGCTTTTAGTATTTTGGATACAATTTTAATAATTCTTCTCATTATAATTAATAAATGAACAATAAATAGCTTAAAATATTTTATTGTGCTTTTATGGTGTTTTGTAGATGTAATTTTAATAATTCTTAATAGTTTTAATAATAAATTAAAAATAAATGTATTTTATTGTGCTTTTATGGTGTTAGATGGAATAATATATTTAACATACGTGGATGCAATTTTAATAATTCTTCATATTTTTAATAATAAATTAAAAATTAATTAAATATTTTATTGTGCTTTTATGGTGTTAGATGGAATAATATATTTAACATACGTGGATGCAATTTTAATAATTCTTCATATTTTTAATAATAAATTAAAAATTAATTAAATATTTTATTGTGCTTTTATGGTGTTAGATGGAATAATATATTTAACATACTGTGTATGACATACTTTTGTGTTTTTGCTTTTGCTCCTTTTAGTTTTATGTGGACATAATTTTAATAATTATTTTTACCTTAATAATAATTTAACAGTTCTTTTTTTAATATTTATATTAAAACATTATTTTAATATGAAATTAATAATAAATAAAATGTGCCTTTGGATGGATTCATATATTTAATATTCTGTGTAAACTGTATATTTTTGTGTTTTTGCTATGCTCCTTTTTTTGTTTTTTAATTTTAATAATTGTCTATTTCTGTACATTTTGGAAGACTAAAAGATGAAACATGTTTATTAATATGCACTTTCCCTGTGCACACACACACACACACACACACACACAAATAAAATAAACAAATAGAAATAAATAAATAAAAATACAAAATAAAACACAACTTATAAATAGATAGAATAAAAAAACGTGTTCAGAGTTTCTACTGTTCACATTCAATTCACCTTTGGTTGTCTCACTCTCTCTGACCAGGAATGTTCCTCTCCTGTTTTCCAGAATCAAGAGGAGGCGCTCGGAGTCCCTGCGTGTGATCTTTCCAAAGTACCATCTGGAGAGGGATGGAGAAAGAAAGAAAGAAAGAAAGAAAGAAAGAAAGAAAGAATGAAAGAAAGAAAGAAAGAAAGAAAGAAAGAGAGAGAGTGTATTTAGAGTAAGTAATCACATGTAACATTGTATCACAGACATGCAGCTGGCCAGAAACACAGCTTATGCTAATACACAGACAGAACTATGATCTTATTGTACAAACATATAAGAAAGGTCTGTAAGAATATACTCACCGAGGATGCATTTATTTATAAAAATTTGTGAAATATTATTACAATTTAAAATAATTGATCTTACCAAGGCTGGGCGTTTTGACGATATTATCGTATATCGACGATGTCTTGCAAGTATTGCGATGTCGATAATAAAAGTCAGTTACAAACGCTAATATCGAGAAAAAAATTACAAATATATTTAACATAGTCCCGTAGTTACCATGCACATATTTATTCACATGAAATAGCATGAATGAAATATTTTGTAGCCTATGCTAGTAGCTAATTATTAAGGAATAAAACATCTATTCTGGAATCACTTAATTTACTTAAGGCCAGGAATTGAATAGGCCGACTCTTTATAAAACTAGCCATTCTTTTTATTTTTACTTATTAATAATGTTTTTTTATTTTATTTTAATACATTCTAAGTCCAATCCTAAGCTGTGTTTGTATTTATTTTTGTGCACTCTCCTCACAAACACGCTCAAGGAAAAGGAAACATGAGATGGCAGAAAGCGGAACCTGTTTTCTTTATTTTACAAAAACACAATGTTTTGTTTTTAATGTGAGTGTACGCAGATAAAATTATTTATGTTTATGTATTTACCATAATTGACGGAGTATTTTAAGTTGTTTTCACTGATGTAAGGAAGCAATTCAAGTGCACGCCAGCGCCTTGCACGCGCACACGTCAATTCTAGCATGGCTTGACATCGCAGCCTGCTTATTATCAAAAAATAAATAAAAATAAAATACCAAATAACATTTGTAATTACTTATTTTTTCCAAATAAATAATGCAGCATTTTTTTTTGCTTCGTTATAAGAGGCCTATAAGGACAACTTGGAGCTCTAAAAACATGAAAGAAAAAAACAACCTTTCCGTTTTTGGTCATGCAGAAGGAACCAATTTGTTTTTAAAGGGGTCATATGGTGCGATTTCATTTTTTCCTTTCTCTTTGGAGAGTTACAAGCTCTTGGTGCATAAAGAAGATCTGTAAAGTTGCAAAGACTAAAGTCTCAAAACCAAAGAGATATTCTTTATAAAAGTTAAGAGTCAACCACGCCTACCTAAAACGGCTCATTCTAACACGCCCCCACATATCTACCTCACTATGTGGGAAGATTTGCATAACGCCGCCCAAATGTTCACGCAAAGAAAGAAGGCGCAACTTTTATTCTCGCTGTAGTATTGTTGCCGCCGCCATGTCGTGAAGGCGCTGTGTGTTTCGTTGTGAAAGCGAAACTACTTTGTTTGGTCTTCCAAAAGAGGACGATATCCGCTTCGTCATGCCTGGAGCTGATCCGTGCTGGTCGCTGAGGAAATACATCCACTTCTACGGTGCGTGTCGGCTATGTCGGTGTGGTAGGGGCGGGGCTCGAATAGACGATATTATCGGATATCGCGATATTTAAGGCGATTATCGATAAAATATTTTTTACATATTGCCCAGCCCTAGATCTTACTAACCCCAAACTTTTGAACAGTAGTGTACATTTAATCTATTATGAAATCAAGCTTGCGTATCTAATAAAAATGACTATACTTTATAACAATTGTCATCTGAATTGTGCTGCACGAGATACTGAACATTGATTCAGGTTGTAATATTCCTACTCATAGTTCCAGTAGCGATAAAAGAGTGGTGTTTGCGATTCATGACCGGCCCAATGACATTTAGTGCCTATAAATCAGCATAGTTTGTTGTTAGCCGCTCATGCGCAGTGCTCTCTCTGAGTCTTACCTTTTCTCCAGAGTCAATCTGAGATGACTGGCAAGGCAAGGGTGGAAAAATTAATCATCATAGGTTTTCAGAGGAGTGCTTGTGTGTATTTGTTTAATGTGGCAGTCGACTGAGCAACAGCTCGTGTGTGGGTCTCAGGAAAAAGGATGAGTTAGAACATGAACAGGACAGACAATAGTAGACAGGCCACCTGAGACAAACACTGACGTATTCTACTCATTCAAGAGGGAAAAGGTCTTTGGGCCACCAGGGCATTTTCCTTCTAACTGATGAGATGATGGAGAGACTTTATCGCAAATAATAGAGGAGGGTGAAAGAGCAAAATCATGAAGGGAAATATAAAGGACTCAAAGGTCAGCCCGAAGCAGAGGAGGGGCGAGAATCATTCTGTTAGTAACGTCACAAGGGTTGAGCGTCAGTGTTATTTTAGTGTCATTGAGATACTATTATAGTTTTTAGTAATAGTCTGAATTGTTTTTTTTTGTTTTTTTACATTTTAGTAGTTTTTATTTTTGTATATTTTCCATTTAAATTTTTATTATTTTCAGTAATTGTGTTGTGTGTTTGTCATTTTTTGTCTTTATAGATTTTATTCATTTTTATTTCGCTATTTTAGTACATCAAGTTTAAAGGGGTCATATGATGCGATTTCATTTTTTCCTTTCTCTGAAACTAGCTGAATTAAATACATTTTAATTAATTTAAAATAATACACACAATAAATACAGCATCCTGCTTGATGACTCGTGAACAAATTGTTCTGTTGAGTCAGATCTTTTCAACACAGAGCAAGTGACTCTCATGAGTTGGTTCTTTTTGATGAATCAGTTTTGCGACTCATGAATCAGTCAGGGCGGATAGAAAATGAACATGTGACTGATGAACTTCACTGACTAAACTGCTGACTCATAACAAATTGAAATAAGCGGTTTCTTTCAACTGTTGTTTTGTTTAGTAAAATAATCATCAACGGGGTTAATAAAGACCTAGAATCACGCTCAGCTGAATTGAGAGATCTAATTAGAGTGAGGGGAATAAAATGCAAACCAGAGGATTCACAGGGAGGAGAACAGCAAAGAAAAAGGAGAGAAAGAGGAGGAGAAAGAGGATTTACTCTTCAGCCTGGATGGAATCAGACGGTGCCACGTAATTGCTGGGAATGTATCCACTCTCTCCTGTCGTCAGCGAGCGAGCCAGCCACCAGTCGCCCTCCCTAAGACGGCAGAAAACACACGCATAACACACCTGCAGTTTGACTCACATTCATCATATTTGGTGACACATTCAAGACGTCTTTCTTAACCGCCCAAAACATACACCCTGAGATTACATCTGCGGTATCATTCCTGCTTTATAATCCATGAGAATGCAGACAAAGCTGCTCTAAAGACATCAACTACCTGTGCCAAATTATGCATAAATGAAACATGCATTTAAAGGGACAGTTCACTTCACCCAAAATAAACAATCGTCGTTTACTCACCCTCACATTGTTCCAAACCCATATTACTGAATCTTACTACTGTATATATCTCGTTCCTCTCATGGAGTGCGTAAATATCATATGTATGTGTGTGCCAATGTATATATATATGCATTTATTGCATGTAGGCTGCATTTATTTGATCAAAAACACAGTAAAATAGTGAAAGATTCAATTTTTTAAATAACTGTTTTCTATTTGAGTACATTGTAAACTGTAATTTATTCCTGTGATGCAAAGCTGAATTTTCAGCATCATTACTCCAGTCTTTAATGTGTCATGATCCTTCAGGAATCATTCTAATATGCTGATTTGCATAACATTTCTTATTGTTATCAATGTTGAAAACACTTGTGCTGCTTAATATTCTTGTGGAAACCTTGATTTGTTTATCCAGGATTCTTTATGAACAGATAATTCAAAAGAACATCAGCATTTATTTGAAATAGAAGTGTTTTGTAATGGATGTCTTTACTGTCACTTTTGATTAGGGTTGTAAAGGGGTCGGAAAATGTCCAGCAAAGTTACCAAAAAATCTTAGAAAGTTTGCAAAAAATTATGGAAAGTTCTTTGTAAAGCCTCTTTGTAAACATACGTTTGGTCAATTTAACGCTTCCTTGGTGAAAAGTATTAATTTCTTTCAAAAAAATAAGTGCTATATGCCTTTATTAAGTGTGAAAGTGCAGCACAAGCATTCATCAAGATATCTCTTTTTGAGTTCTATTAAAGAAAGAAAATCATATGGGTTTGGAATGATGGATTTTTTTTTCATTTTGGGTGAATTATTTACTACAAAACTGGTAGATTTATAAAAAAAACGAGTCATCTGTCGGGGTCTCTATTGTCTTGGAGTCTTGATGGGTTTTTAATAATAGATGTTGTGTTTTAGTGTGAGCTGTGGGGTGTCAGACTGTGACTCACTCCTTAAGCTAAAGTAATAAGATTCATCCATCGCCAAGACATGCTGACCTGACACAAACCTCTCCAGGTCTCTGAGCTATTGCTAGCTGTTGTTAAACGTAATTAAAACATAACCGCTCCAGTGAAAACAATGACATACAGTACATACACAGATGGGCACATATTCATATTCATAGAATGCAAATATATTAATCATACACAGGGTACCATTCAAAATTCAGATGTTAATGAATTATTTATGTATGAAAAGGTATAAAAACAGTGATTCTGATAAGCAGGGTTTCTTGGAAGATAATAAAAAAAATGTGGCTACAACTTAGCAATAATTTATGTAGAAGACATTGATGCTGATGCTTTAACTTTATAATTCAACTCTATACATAACTTACTTATGAAAAAGTCTACTTTTACATTAAACTTTTAATACTATGAAGCACAAACTACAATATCAAACTGCATCAAAATGTCATCACTTTTCACATATCCTTTGTGATAATTTGTGACCCTGGAGCACAAAAGCAGTCTTAAGTCGACTTCATTTTTGATTAGCAATATGTGTTGCTAATAACTTAATTTGGACAACTTTAAAAGGCGATTTTTTCAATATTTTGATTTTATTAGCCTTCAGTTTACATGTTTTACATGTTTACATGTTCTATGCTAATTTAGCTAAATGCTAATGCTTTCTGAACATTATCGTTTTAAGTGGCTGCATGAAATCAAAACTTGACTGAACTTTTGTGGATTTTAGTCCAAGTCTGTTAGCTTTGAACTCTATGCTAGTGAACTACATGCATGATTTTATTAGCCTTCAGTTTACATGTTTTACATGTTCTATGCTAATTTAGCTAAATGCTAATGCTTTCTGAACATTATCGTTTTAAGTGGCTGCATGAAATCAAAACTTGACTGAACTTTTGTGGATTTTAGTCCAAGTCTGTTAGCTTTGAACTCTATGCTAGTGAACTACATGCATAGCAATTATATGTAAAAACTTTTTTTGCCCATATACAGATTTAAACCTTGTATATGGATTTTTGTCCAATAAAATGATCTCTGGAATGAGAATGAGAACTAGCAAGTTAGCTAAACAAAAAACGTAGCATAGCCTTTAATTTACATTTTTACTATGCTAATTTAGTTAAACGCTAATGATATTTTAACATTGCTGCTTTTAGCTTCATTCACTTTATAACCCCATGAAATCAAAATCAGACTTTAGTGGGTTGTAGTGCAAGTCTGTTCATTTTCAGGACATCAAAATGCTAGTTCGCTTCCACAAAAGCCTTTAGTTTACATGTTTACTATTTAAAAATGGACATGTCGACAACAGCGACAACTTCCTGTTTAAACGAAATAATGTCAACATAGAAAAAAATATTTGACATTATTTTCATTGTTAGGGCTTATCCTAATCTAGCATAGCATACAGTACAGATACAGTAGCATGAATATTAGCATGTAGCCAAAGCAAATGTAAAGGAACAATGAATAATACACCAATGGACCAACCACAAAGTCAGCATGAAGGACAAATGTAAAATTGTCGTGAGTGAGCCAGTTATGAGGAGGTGTGACACTATTTCTGGACCACTTCCAGAGTCTCTGGAGAGTCAGGACAAATCTCAGGTGGACAAGCAAACAGTGAAATTACACACACACACACACACACACACACTGGACACTGAATGGACACTGAAAGCTGAAAGCAAGAGCAACTTTACCAACCTGGGGTTCAACTTTCTCCTACATAAACGAGAGAGAGCGTGTAGAGAAAAAAAAACACAGAGGAGACATGAAGTGTTTGGACATTAAAAGCAGAAAAAACAGAACATCCCACATAGGCTTAAAAACTGACTGAAAGTCAACCGCAGCAATGATGCACTGAAAACACAGCATTTATCCAACTCATCTCTGCTCATCATGTCAAGTACTAAAAATATGGAAAACAATTATTGTAATGTGCGTTTGATTATCTCTAATTGTGTGCTGACACACGACAAGCTGGATCAGCTTGGTGATTTTGTTAAAAAGCTGATTACTTTATTATCAGGAGCTTCTGGGAAGGGTTATGGACAGCGGTGGGGATTGGTTATGGTTTAAAGGAACACTCCACTATTTTTGAAAATAGGCTCATTTTCCAACTCCCCTAGAGTTAAACAGTTGAGTTTTACCGTTTTCGAATCCATTCAGCCGATCTCCGGGTCTGGCGGTAGCACTTTTAGCTGTAGCATAGCATAGATCATTGAATCTGATTAGACCGTTAGCATCTCGCTCAAAAATGACCAAAGAGTTTCTATATTCTTCCTATTTAAAACTTGACTCTTCTGAAGTTACATCGTGTACTAAGACCGACGGAAAATTAAAAGTATATGGCTAGGAACTATACTCTCATTCCGGCGTAATAATCAAGGAACTTTGCTGCCGTACCATGTGCCACGTAATTGCTGGGAATGTATCCACTCTCTCCTGTCGTCAGCGAGCGAGCCAGCCACCAGTCGCCCTCCCTAAGACGGCAGAAAACACACGCATAACACACCTGCAGTTTGACTCACATTCATCATATTTGGTGACACATTCAAGACGTCTTTCTTAACCGCCCAAAACATACACCCTGAGATTACATCTGCGGTATCATTCCTGCTTTATAATCCATGAGAATGCAGACAAAGCTGCTCTAAAGACATCAACTACCTGTGCCAAATTATGCATAAATGAAACATGCATTTAAAGGGACAGTTCACTTCACCCAAAATAAACAATCGTCGTTTACTCACCCTCACATTGTTCCAAACCCATATTACTGAATCTTACTACTGTATATATCTCGTTCCTCTCATGGAGTGCGTAAATATCATATGTATGTGTGTGCCAATGTATATATATATGCATTTATTGCATGTAGGCTGCATTTATTTGATCAAAAACACAGTAAAATAGTGAAAGATTCAATTTTTTAAATAACTGTTTTCTATTTGAGTACATTGTAAACTGTAATTTATTCCTGTGATGCAAAGCTGAATTTTCAGCATCATTACTCCAGTCTTTAATGTGTCATGATCCTTCAGGAATCATTCTAATATGCTGATTTGCATAACATTTCTTATTGTTATCAATGTTGAAAACACTTGTGCTGCTTAATATTCTTGTGGAAACCTTGATTTGTTTATCCAGGATTCTTTATGAACAGATAATTCAAAAGAACATCAGCATTTATTTGAAATAGAAGTGTTTTGTAATGGATGTCTTTACTGTCACTTTTGATTAGGGTTGTAAAGGGGTCGGAAAATGTCAAGCAAAGTTACCAAAAAATCTTAGAAAGTTTGCAAAAAATTATGGAAAGTTCTTTGTAAAGTCTATTTGTAAACATACGTTTGGTCAATTTAACGCTTCCTTGGTGAAAAGTATTAATTTCTTTCAAAAAAATAAGTGCTATATGCCTTTATTAAGTGTGAAAGTGCAGCACAAGCATTCATCAAGATATCTCTTTTTGAGTTCTATTAAAGAAAGAAAATCATATGGGTTTGGAATGATGGATTTTTTTTTCATTTTGGGTGAATTATTTACTACAAAACTGGTAGATTTATAAAAAAAACGAGTCATCTGTCGGGGTCTCTATTGTCTTGGAGTCTTGATGGGTTTTTAATAATAGATGTTGTGTTTTAGTGTGAGCTGTGGGGTGTCAGACTGTGACTCACTCCTTAAGCTAAAGTAATAAGATTCATCCATCGCCAAGACATGCTGACCTGACACAAACCTCTCCAGGTCTCTGAGCTATTGCTAGCTGTTGTTAAACGTAATTAAAACATAACCGCTCCAGTGAAAACAATGACATACAGTACATACACAGATGGGCACATATTCATATTCATAGAATGCAAATATATTAATCATACACAGGGTACCATTCAAAATTCAGATGTTAATGAATTATTTATGTATGAAAAGGTATAAAAACAGTGATTCTGATAAGCAGGGTTTCTTGGAAGATAATAAAAAAAAATGTGGCTACAACTTAGCAATAATTTATGTAGAAGACATTGATGCTGATGCTTTAACTTTATAATTCAACTCTATACATAACTTACTTATGAAAAAGTCTACTTTTACATTAAACTTTTAATACTATGAAGCACAAACTACAATATCAAACTGCATCAAAATGTCATCACTTTTCACATATCCTTTGTGATAATTTGTGACCCTGGAGCACAAAAGCAGTCTTAAGTCGACTTCATTTTTGATTAGCAATATGTGTTGCTAATAACTTAATTTGGACAACTTTAAAAGGCGATTTTTTCAATATTTTGATTTTATTAGCCTTCAGTTTACATGTTTTACATGTTTACATGTTCTATGCTAATTTAGCTAAATGCTAATGCTTTCTGAACATTATCGTTTTAAGTGGCTGCATGAAATCAAAACTTGACTGAACTTTTGTGGATTTTAGTCCAAGTCTGTTAGCTTTGAACTCTATGCTAGTGAACTACATGCATAGCAATTATATGTAAAAACTTTTTTTGCCCATATACAGATTTAAACCTCGTATATGGATTTTTGTCCAATAAAATGATCTCTGGAATGAGAATGAGAACTAGCAAGTTAGCTAAACTAAAAACGTAGCATAGCCTTTAATTTACATTTTTACTATGCTAATTTAGTTAAACGCTAATGATATTTTAACATTGCTGCTTTTAGCTTCATTCACTTTATAACCCCATGAAATCAAAATCAGACTTTAGTGGGTTGTAGTGCAAGTCTGTTCATTTTCAGGACATCAAAATGCTAGTTCGCTTCCACAAAAGCCTTTAGTTTACATGTTTACTATTTAAAAAATGGACATGTCGACAACTGCGACAACTTCCTGTTTAAACGAAATAATGTCAACATAGAAAAAAATATTTGACATTATTTTCATTGTTAGGGCTTATCCTAATCTAGCATAGCATACAGTACAGATACAGTAGCATGAATATTAGCATGTAGCCAAAGCAAATGTAAAGGAACAATGAATAATACACCAATGGACCAACCACAAAGTCAGCATGAAGGACAAATGTAAAATTGTCGTGAGTGAGCCAGTTATGAGGAGGTGTGACACTATTTCTGGACCACTTCCAGAGTCTCTGGAGAGTCAGGACAAATCTCAGGTGGACAAGCAAACAGTGAAATTACACACACACACACACACACACACTGGACACTGAATGGACACTGAAAGCTGAAAGCAAGAGCAACTTTACCAACCTGGGGTTCAACTTTCTCCTACATAAACGAGAGAGAGCGTGTAGAGAAAAAAAAACACAGAGGAGACATGAAGTGTTTGGACATTAAAAGCAGAAAAAACAGAACATCCCACATAGGCTTAAAAACTGACTGAAAGTCAACCGCAGCAATGATGCACTGAAAACACAGCATTTATCCAACTCATCTCTGCTCATCATGTCAAGTACTAAAAATATGGAAAACAATTATTGTAATGTGCGTTTGATTATCTCTAATTGTGTGCTGACACACGACAAGCTGGATCAGCTTGGTGATTTTGTTAAAAAGCTGATTACTTTATTATCAGGAGCTTCTGGGAAGGGTTATGGACAGCGGTGGGGATTGGTTATGGTTTAAAGGAACACTCCACTATTTTTGAAAATAGGCTCATTTTCCAACTCCCCTAGAGTTAAACAGTTGAGTTTTACCGTTTTCGAATCCATTCAGCCGATCTCCGGGTCTGGCGGTAGCACTTTTAGCTGTAGCATAGCATAGATCATTGAATCTGATTAGACCGTTAGCATCTCGCTCAAAAATGACCAAAGAGTTTCTATATTCTTCCTATTATATAGAAATATATAGAAACTCTTTGGTCATTTTTGAGCGAGATGCTAACGGTCTAATCAGATTCAATGATCTATGCTAAGCTACAGCTAAAAGTGCTACCGCCAGACCCGGAGATCGGCTGAATGGATTCGAAAACGGTAAAACTCAACCGTTTAACTCTAGGGCGAGTTGGAAAATGAGCCTATTTTCAAAACTAGTGGAGTGTTCCTTTAAAGGGTGAATCTCATGAAAACAACCAGGTTTTTTAACCCAAAATGTTCAAAATCCCCATAAATGGTTCTAACTACAACACTATTTTGGTAACTTGTTTTAATATTTAAAAATGTATTACAAAAAACTGCACGTGTATCTTTACATGTTGTTACAATGATGCTGATTTCAGTTTCACAAACCTTAAGTACGCATTAAGTATGCTTCATTTCGAGTCTGGTATGACTTAATGACTTATCATCATTAAACCAATCATGCTAATTTTGACTAAATTCATTCAATGAATGATTTATTAGACATTCAAACCGATAATCTGCACAGTTCATGAAAAATGGCTCAGAGTCATTCTTTCATGAAAACAAATTATATCTACACTGCCATTTAAAAGTGTAGGGTTGGTAAAATTTGTCTTTTTAAATAAATTAATACTTTTATTCAGCAAGGACGCATTAAATTGATCAAAAATCACAGTAAAGACATTTATAATATTACAAAAGATTTATATTTCAAATAAATGTTGTTCTTTTGAACTCTCTATTCATAAAAAAAAATCCTGAAAAATATTAACACTGTTTCGACAAAGATATTGTCACGAATTCGGTTCATGGACTTCCGTTTATTCACCACCAGATGTCACCATTTCCTTTACATTGACACTCGCACTACACAAACTGTTGCATAGCACCCCGGACTACATTTCCCATCATTCTTTGCACAATTTGCACACTGCCCTGATTGCACTCATTGCACACAGCTGTTTCTAATCATTCACTATATAACACCCACTCTAACCACATTTCTCTGCTGAGTATTGTTTAGCCTGTACCCCTTTCCGAGTCTCCGTGTTTTCCTTGTTTTGCCTTGCCTGTTTTTGCGGTTTTTATCGGTGACCTACGCTAGCCCTGTGACTATTCTTGTGTTTTGCCCGCCATATACCTGTTTGCCAGTGTTTTGACCCTGCCTGTTTACCACATCTCTTAAATAAAGCCTGCAGATGAATCCACACGTCTCACGTCTTGTCAGCCCCGTTACAGATATTAAGCATTAAGAAATAAATCACATTATATATATATATATATATATTAAAATGATAGAAAGCAGTTATTTGAATTGCAATAATATTTCACAATATTACTGTTTTACTGTATATATATATATATATTATATATATTTTTTCCCACTTTTTTCACTCCCTTTTTTTTGTTTTAAATCTCATTTCTGTGTAAAAGTTTTTTTTTGTAGATCCCATTATTTTCAAAGATGGTTCTCATTACTGTAATACACTAATATATACTGTGTTACAAAGATCAAATTTAAAACCTAAATTGGCATAAATAAATAGCAGTATAACACATACTTGTTTTCGTACTAAATGACAATTTGGGACTGCTTAATTGTCATGAAAATAACATCACAATGTAAACATTCTTAATGTTACTAAAAACAAGCTTCATTATCATTCAGCAAAATATTATTTCTCATTTCCTTCTCTTGATTTTAGGTTGAAATATGAACCGGCCATGTTCTGTTTCGAGAGATTCACCCATATAATCACACTGCATTGGGCCTGACGTTAAAAAAAGCAATTCCCCAGGTCCGCTTTGTGCCGAAACCAGAGGATGTTACTGAGATTGTTTTTATTCTCTTAACGGTAGCGCTGTACACTGGAATAAGGAAGTGAAGCGCAGGTGTAGAAAGGAAGGAAAATGCTCCCTTTGGTCCGGGAGGGGAAGTGGAGGTAAAGACGTGCAACTGAGCTTTTTTTGTGTGCACAGGAAGACCAAAAAAGGAATCCAGAGAACAAAAAGCCGTCATCCCAGAAATACAGTGCCTTCAGAGTGAGCCAGTTCCTATGGTTACCGAAGAGGAAGGGGGGCTACAGCAGTCAGACAGATGAGAGACATGAGTGTGTGTGAATGTCTGCATCAGTGGGTGTGTCTATTGTGTGTTTGTGTGTTTCCCCCTTACGTGTTATTGACAATCTGGAGTCGTTCTCCTTTCCTGAATGACAAATCGGAGGCGGTTCGTGACTCGTAGTCATACAAAGCCACAAACGTGGTCACGCCGCCTATGGAAAAATACAAGAGACAAACATAGACCATTATCTTGATGCATGCAATTCAAAAACTTCAGCAGGGAAATTTCATTAACCTAAGTAATATAATGCAATGTTGGGTTGCCAATGAAAATGGGCACCTAAAAATAGTCTAGACTTGTACAGTCAGACTTTTGACTTCCAGCATAAGAACTCTATGAAGCGTCATCTAAGCTGGTAAATCTGAATTTTTTTATTTTTTTTTGCATGCTGGTCTATTAAAGTAATGCTGAAATCAGGGTTATTATAGTTAACTAAAAATAAAACCATTGAACAAACAACCTTTTATTACTTGAAACAAAATAAAATCAACATAAAAATAAATAGTATAAAAAATGTATTTTATTACTTGAAATAAAATAAAATGTATATAAAAATAAAAAATATAAAAAAACATTTTATTAACTGAAATAAAATTTATATATAAATCAATAATATAAAAAATATATTTTATTAACTGAGTTATATAATTAATATAGAATAAAAAATATTTGTTTCAGTTTGTTGCAAAGGCAAAAATGTCTTATTTTCATTCAGTTGAACTTAATGTACTAAAATAAATAAAACCGAGATAAAAATTAAGGACTATAAATACTATACAGACATATTTAACAAAAACTAATAAAAATGACAAAAACACAAAACTACTAAAACATTAACTAAAATAAAAAAAAACTGAAAATATAAAAAATATATTTGAATTATAATACAATAATAATATTATTACTAATAAATGTACAGCATTATTTACTTAATTACAAGTAAATTAACTTAATTACTTATTATAAAACATATTATTATTAATAAAAGCCTATTATTATTTGAACATGTATTTAAATAATGGAGATTTAAACAATAAATTCATTACACCTAATATTATATATATATATATATATATATATATATATATATATATATATATATATATATACACAAATATATAAA